AGAGGCAGATTTTCATTCAAGAGAACTTTATAATAGTGACCTTTGTCCTGAAGTCAGCTATCAAGGACAGATGTGGGATGAGTTCCTTGGAAAGAGCAGTGAAAGTGCTTTCGTCTTTGAAGTTAAGTGGTGCTTGTGGAACAGGTTCTCAATTTATGTCCATTGAACAAGTGACTTTTTGAGGAATCTTCTACAAGAAATTAGTGAGTTGAGAGGAAAGTTAGAAGTGATAAACTCTAAGGTTATTTCCTTACAAACAAACTTTGGGAGTTTTCTCTGATTTATATTTGTTATTGCAGCATTATAATTATATGTTACAGAGGGATTCATTGTTACATATTTGTACATTCATACAATATATCAATATAATTTGGAATTGAGATAGCAGGGACACATCCCACAGCTGCTATATATTTTTTTTCTTATTGACAAGTTAATGCAAAGTTGTAATAGCCTAACTCACACTTTCTTATGGCCTGAGTATCAACAGTAAAAGTCCTTCATATTTGCATTATGAATAGGTCTCTTCCTAACCGTATTGGCATTTTAATAGTTTTTGAGTGGTCCCCACTAATTTTTTCCTCCATTCTTACAGGATTGATTGGCTATGTCAGACAAAACCAATTGAGCCACTTTCTCCAAGCAAGTTGACAACATGAGGATATTGAGGGGTTTGTAACAACTATAACAACAACTACCTGAGTTAAGTAGAATTTATTGTCATTGTAACCTAGGCCATTAGTAAATCTTACAAAGTTCATTATAATATGAGATCATGCCACCTACAAGTAACCCATGTATACAGTTACTTATTAACCCTTTGGAAAATGTCTCACTGGAATTTAATTGGATTCCAAATTAATTTTCTATTGCAGTCATTATTGCTAACGGTCACCTAAGTACCTGAAATCTCTCCCATCAAGATTGTTCCTTTAATTTTAGGAGAAATCCGTTTATTTGAGAAAGGTAGTCTACTAAGGCACTTGATAGAGTTAGTTTATCAGATTTGTTAGCCAATCTTTTCTTTCCTGGGAGGTCTTGTGCTTCACTCAGAATCTCTTTAGGAAACTGATGGCATTTCAAACTGAGTAATTGAGGATATTTTAGTAACAGGGCTGTTTACAAAGTTTAGGAAAAGCAGGAAGGGCTGGGACAGTGACAATGCCTCCGGCTAGTAACACTGGGGTGCAGGTTGGAGGGAGCAGGCAGTTACTGGCACCTGAAGCCATAGCTCTATGAAGAAGGCTCCCTAACAATTGCTGTGACATTTGGTGGAGGGATGGAGCAAGGAGTGACACGGAGAATAAATATCTGGCTTCACTCTTCTCTGTTATCTACTGCTGAACTAAACATGAACTAAACCCAAGCAAAACAGGAGGGTGAGGAAGCCCACTGGTACAATTAGTGATTTTATATATATATATGTGTGTGTATGTACACACACACACACACACACACACACACACACATATATATGGAGAGAGAGAGAGAGAGACCCATCTTCTGGAATGGGGTGGGAAAGGATCTGGAGGGGCAAAAAGAAGAGATCGCACACAATCTGTAGCAAAGTTAGTGTCCTCCTCAGAACACCATATTTGACCACCCTCTTATGTCAACTTTTCTCCTTGGGACATCTTATTTATGGTTTTTACTTCTTTCTGTATTCCTTAAACTGATGTCCAGAAAGTCCCCTGGACTTCCTTTAGGCAGCTCACACTCAATAAAACCTGAACAAAGTCATTAAAACTCATCATCTTTATGCCCCTTATCCAACATACTCCTCCACCTATATTCTGTATCTTAGTTCAGCTATTATGCCTGTAATCCCAGCAATTTGGCAGGCTGAGGCAGGATGATTGCAAATTTGAGGCCAGCCTCAGCAGCTTAGCAAGGCCCTGAGCAACTTGGTGAGACCCTGTCTCAAAAAACAAACAAACAAACAAAGGACTGGGGATGTGGCCCGATATCAGGGGCCCCTGGATGAGGTAAAGGCAAGTCAGTATTGGGGGAAAATTGATTATCCTGGTACCCAAGTCAGAAATCCAGGAGTCATTTTGTACCATAATTGTTTCCTCATCTGCAACATCCAATCACCAATTATGCTGTTTTATCTATATTTCTCCTCTAGCTTCTTTTTGTCCATTTCTATACCCACTTTTCTGACTTAAATCATTAATACCTGTTGTATCTTTTCTTTTGGGCTCCAATTAATTTCCTCTTGAAACACTGACCCATATTACTGTCAGACTGTATGCTTAGGAGTGAAATGTTTTATTTATTTTTTTACTGGTGAAATATTTATTAAGAACTAGTATGTGCCAGATATTATGCTAAACACTGGAAATTTGGGAATGAATAGACATATTCTCTGCTTTCAGTTATAATCTCCCAGTTAGATAAGTACAGATTGATAGGTACAATGATAGAATTACAAATGAGGGACTTAGCTTATAATAGGATTAAGGGTATTACATAAAACTCTTTGGAGCAACACCTAGGTTTAGCCCTCCAAAGACTAATAAGTGTTCAAGTAAAAGGAAGGAGAGGAGAGACAACCAGAAAAGAGATTTCAGACTATGAGGACAGCCTGGTGCAAGTTTTAGAATCAAGAGAGAGCATACAGATCTGGAAGGATTTGGAGTAATAGTGTAAGTGAAGTAGAAAGTGAAATCAGTGGTCAGATAATGAAGAGTTTTGTTAAGTATTTTTATCTGGAAGATTATGGGGACTCCTGGAGGACTTTAAATTGAGGCTTAGCATGATCAAGTCTGTTTTGGAAGTATTATTCATGTAGTTGTTTGGTGAATGGATTTCAAAGGGGGTAAGACTGAAGGCAAATTCGCCAGTTTTTAAAAGACTTCACTGAACTAAGGAAGTAGAGGCAGGTCTGGAGTGATCCAAAATATATTCAGGTGTGATTACTTATAAGTCACATTGAAAGTTGGAACCTAGAGGGTGAGGGAGAGAAAGGAATCTAGACTGATGTCTGGCACTCTGGCTTAGCAACTGGATGGACAGTGTTAATATTCACCAGGGTAGGGAATTCAGAAAGATGAGGTATAGGCAAGTCAGTTAATGAACCTGACTTGGGAAATGCTGACTTTGTGGTTCCTGTGGGCCATTCAAGTGGAGATGCTGAGCTGAGTGTTCATGTCTAGATTTTAAATTATGACAACAGATGGAACTTCTCAAGGACTGTTGGAAGAAAGTAAGAACAAGTGTTCAATAAGTAGAAAAAAAAAATATCTTCAGTCCTGAGGGAGAAGTCAACCTCTGAAGCAGTCCCCATTGTCTACTGAATCAAGCCCAAGTTCTTTTATTTTTTTAACATTTTTTTGGTTGTTGTTGTTGTTATAAATGGACCCAATACCTTTATTTTATTTATTTATTTTTACGTGGTGCTGAGGATCGAAACCAGTGCCTCACACATGCTAAGGAAGCTTTCTCCCGCTGAGCCACAACCCCAGCCCGCAAGTTCTTAATTTAAAACTTTCTCTCCAACTTTATCTCATGGCAATCTACAAATGACATTTTGAGCTCTACGAGTATGAAACTGCTGGTGGTTCTCCAGCATACTTGGGACTACTGGGTGTAACTTAAGGCTTCTAGGATATGGTTAGAGAAGGTAGGTCACTGGGGATGGCCCCTGGATGGGTTTATCTTCTCCCCAGCCTCTTCTATGCTGCTCTCTCTCTCTGCTCCCCAGGTGCCATGGGCGGAAGCAGCTTTCCTTCCCTACAGTCTTCCGCCATGATGCTCTGCCTCACCTCAGGCCCACAGCAATGGAGCCGGCTGACCATGGACTGAGACCTCTGAAACCATGAGCCAAAGTAAACTTTTCCTCCTGTAATTAGTTTTTGTCAGGCATTTTGGTCACAAAAGTTTTCATCATCATAGTGATGAAAAACTAACACTCACCTATGGAAAGAAGAAGGGGGCAGGAAGGAGCAGGCTGACGGAGAAGACAAACTCTGACGCAAACTCAGCAACTGCTTCATCTGGCACTGAGAAGCCCTCTGGCACCAGGATGGCCTTTCAGAGTTATTGCAAATTAGAATGAAGTGGTCAGGCCTTTGTATCTCTGCCTTTACCAGTCAATGGCTATGCTATGGGCCACCCAGGAAGGGGTGAGGCATCTCTGCAGCTGAAGCAATAACTATAGAGGCCAAGAGCACTCCCCGCAGCGGGGGCAGCACATCTATTTCTCAAAGGGGGATAAGGCAGTGCATTCCAGTGTTCACCACACACTGCATTTTTTCCTTGAATTCCTAAGGCCAATCAGAGTATGTGACAGACAGCAGGCCAAATTTGAGGTTTGTAGGACAACTCAGGCTAGTAGAAAAATATTGTTTGTAGCATTTTTTAAAAATTAGATTTCTACATTTAAAAATTGGAAGATTTTACATAAAAATCATCTTGATTTCTAGCTTTACCAGGGGCTCTTAACCACTGAGACACATTCCCACATTTTTTTTTAAATTTAGAAACAGGGTCTTCTTGTAAGTTGCTTAGGACCTCACTAAGTTGCTGGCTTTGAACTTGCAATTCTCCTGCCTCAGCCTCCTGAGCCACTGGGATTACAGGTGTGTGTCATGATGTCCAGTTCTAGCTTTACATGGGAAAAAAAAATGGCAACACTGGGTCTCTTTTTCAGATGCATAGTATGGGCTAGAGTGGGGTATTAGGCAGGCTGTGGTCTCTAGTTCTTCAGACGTATACCCTCTGAATGTGTTTATATTAACTATACTCCTTTGAGTTTGCTATCCTATTAGTTATTAAAGAAATGTTTGTTAAACTAAACAAAAACTAATATCCTTGCATTATGCTTGTTTTATTTATTTAGTTCCAGGGATTGAACCCAGGGGCATTTAATCACTGAGCCACTTTCCCACTGAGCCACTCTTTTTTTTTTTTTTTTTTTTTGGAGCCACTTTAAGAAATATTTTTTTATTTTTATTTATTTATTTATTTTTGGCGCGGGGAGAGAGTCTCACTAAGTTGCTGAGGCTGGTTTGGAACTTTTGATCCTCCGGCTTCAGCCTCCCAAGCCACTGGGAATACAGGCGTGCATCACCTAGCCCAACTCTTGCTGTGGTTTTAATGTGGTTTGTTATCACCAAAATTCACACTGTGTCTAGGTACCTAATGTGGCAGTGTTGGGAGTTGGTGCCTTAAAGAATTGATTAGGTCATTGAGAGGGAATAGTGCTTTTCTTGAGAAAGTAACTTCTTGCTATCATGGGACTGGATTGATTACCATCTTTTTCTACACAATCCTTCCATGGGCTGCTAATCCAGGAGGCTTTTACCAGAAGCTGATGACAGTATCATGTACTTGGACCTCCAGAACTGTGAGCTAAATAAAACTATCTTCTTTATAAGATCTCAGGCATTTTGCTATAGCAATGTAAAATAGCCTCAGATGCTTCTCAAGGAATACTCACGTATACAAATTTATTTAATTCTTAAAACCATGAAAATTAGATATCATTATAATCCCCATTTTATAAGTAAGGAAACTGAGTCCCAGAGTAGCTTAGTGATTGTCACAGGTATCTTGCCAGGAAGTAGTAGGATTATGACTCAAATGAGTTTTAAACGCTTTGGTCTTCCCACTGCGATGCCTGAGGGCTTGGAGATATTGCTGTGTCTGGAGATGTTGCTGCTGCAGGACTATCCAGTGGACCCTGATGTACACTCGTCTAGTCCAGGTAGGAAAGAAAACTTCTTAAACCAAAAATACTCAGGCAGAAATAAAATGGAAATTTTCTAAGCTAGCAGCTTTGGGAAGGGAAAGTATTCTTGAGGGACCTTGTTTTTTTGTTTATGTTTTCCCCGATGGTTTGAAAGGAGTAAAAAATGATTAGAGTTGCAAGGGAGAGTGGGAAACAAGACAAGGTTGCTGATCAAAGGGGAGAGCAAAATGGGAAAATGTAGCATTTCATACACAGCCACA